TGGCAGTCTACATGGGGCTGAAATGTATTAATGGAAACTGAAAATATTCCTCTGGTGGGTGCTTTTCAGCATTCATGCCATTTACTCATTTTATTAAAATAATATAGCAAAAATTAAATGGGGGAAAGAACTGGCAGGTACCAATGGAAGCACTGCTAAACACATCACATTGGACCCACAGACATCACTTTGGAAATCTGAGCATTGGAGCCTACATTTCAGTTGAATGAATGAAGCTTTCAAGCAGCTGTCCTTTTATGCTCTTGTAACGCTCCTGAAAAAAGATTCATTCCGGAGGATTATGGGAAATTTACATGTGTTAAATTGGTACTGATCAAAGCAGAGCCAAATAAGTTTGTCAAATCCACTGCCACCCTCTGGCTCCTCCCAAACTGGAGCCAGCCATGGAATGTAGCAAGACATTATATACCCACTAGCTGTAGACATAGTCACACAGGGACACAAGAGAGAAAAAGAAAAGAGCAATCTGGCGTAAAGCAGATGTTTGAGATATACTACGGACATGTGTTTCATGGCTGGGTGGTAGTCTTTCAACACCCCCCATTTATGACTGTGGAAAACAGATGGCACTGCTTCAAGCGGTGAAAATGGCAGGGCACCCCTTGCGCTTGCCTGGAGAAAGTTTGCATAATAGCTCTTTCATGATTCCTAAAAAAGCTGAGCAGAAACCCTACAGAAAGGTTTTGGTCAGGCACCAGAGGGCACCAATGCTATTACATACAGTATATATGAGGCAAATGGAGAAGTGCAAGAGGCCCCTGCTAGTTGTGCCCATTGCATTCCTCCTGTAGTAAGAAATCAAAATATCTTTCCTCAAAGTTGCTCCGATCATGCATCTTGTTAAAATGTCTTGTTGCTGGGAAAACCCCCTGATTCTTTGCTGGGGAAATTCCAGACAGATAGCTCTATTTCCTTTACAAATGTCCTGTTAAGAAAAAGCATGAAAAAACACAGAGAAAAACATGAGAGAGTTGCAAATGCCTCTTAAAACTGTGTGACTGAGGCAGCGTGACTGAAAAGCCATCTCTGAGAGAAACCTTAGCATGTTTGCTGGGCCACATACCTGTTCCACAGGAATCATGATTCTAGGGGCAATCGGTAACAAGTTTTGCAAGTCAGCATGGGCATATCCGGCAAATACAAAATTCTAATTTCTCTAATGAATGGTGGTAAAAGGTACCCTCCCCCATTACACATGTAAGCTGCATTCATTAGCAAATGTTTGAGACGCCTCCCATACACGTGAACTGCTTAAAGTGTCCTTGTAAGAAAACATTCACAACAAGCTAAAGTGTGACAGGGAGAAGGCTCAGTCAGTACACCAAATTGTATCTATTCACTGATCATATTTCAAAGATAGTATGGCTAGCATGCTGACCTAACAGGAAGGGATAAATAATAATAATGACACCGATTTTTCTTTAGCATACATTACTTTGTGATTGGGAACAACATTGCAAACTCTAGAGAATTGTAGATTTTGAAGGATAACTGAGTTCATGTATTGGACTGAACATGTAAAATTAAAGATGTTTACATTCAACTGCCAACTAAACCATTTTTCCCCCATCATAGTAGCCACATGCCACAGAGATGTGCTGCTGTAGCTAGGCTATTCTGGCAATATTTCCTTGACCACATATTACTCATATGTATTCAATGCTCCTTCTATTGTGACACTCTGGAGTAACTCACGTATCCCCTCAATTTCTCTGTTTGTCCATAATAACTGAGAACTTAACACTTACTATATAATCTCCCTCAACTTCTTTGCTGATCTGACAAACCAGAGTCTGTAGAAGAGATGGACTCACCCTTCCTGTGGAAAACAGTAGAAACAAAGGGAATCAGGCAAGAGGGGAGAAGAGAGAGCAAGTAGATGTCTTCCTTCCTCCCATCAAACCATGTTAGAAGGGAGAGAAGGAGGAGAATGTTTACAGTGTAACTAGCAATGAGTGACATAATTCTCCTGCCTCTTTTATGAATAATTTACATTTGCTTTCTTTAGACCAGTGTTTTTCAACCTCAGCAACTTTAAGATACGTGGACTTCAAATCCCAGAATTCCCCAGCCAGCATGAGGTTGAGAAACACGGCTTTAGCCTTTTTTAAATAAATGAAGAAAATGCAACTCAGCTTGTATTTTAGTTCTTATATATTATAGATTGATTGTTTGGATAGAGTGCTCTCCTGTGTATGTTCCTCTATGGGACAGCATTTCTAACCAGACTTTTCAAAACTTCTCAGTTGAACATCCCACTGCTCAATGCAAGTTTTAGATTGCTTTTTCTTTAGTTCTTGAGGAGGCATATGCTCCTCCTTACACACACATTTGGTTCGACCTTTAAACAATACATTCATCCTCTGTTCCTTTACAACTATTGTAAGTTTTCAAGATATTTAATGAGAGGCGCTTTACAGCCTATGCCTACAGTCTGCATGGGCATTCTCTCCCTTCGTTGAAGCAAGGACATGAAAGCTTGCTTGGAGCCCCCATCCCTTTTCACAAATGTTGTGCAAATGGGCATAAAGATGGAGGCACTGCATCAAGAGAAACAGGGTGCTTTGTGATCAGCTGGGGCAGTTGGCTATAGCTATGGCCAATCTGCAGTCACGCCTGGATGAACTTGGCACTGCCGCTCCTCACCGTCCAAACGCCCTGTATTCATGCCTGAGAAGTTTGATGGGCGCTCTGAGTTGTTCCCTGCTTTCCTTGCTCTATGTAATTTGTATCTTCGTCTGCATCCAGAGATTTTCCCTTCAGAAGCCCATAGGGTGGGGTTTGTTGCAAGTTTGCTGACTGGTCCCACTGCCAAGTGGGCTACCCCATACCTGGTGGCTGAGAGCTTTCAATCTTGCAGGATTGGGGTGCTTTTTTAGGAGAACTCTGACAGACTTTCGAGGATCCTGCCAAGGCTGCCAATTGGAATATACAATGCTTACACCCAAGGGGGCACTCTGTGATGCAATATGCCACTGAATTTAAGTTAACTGCCCATGATTTGGGGTGGAATAAGGCAGCACTCCTGGACCAATTTCAGGAGGGCCTCTCTGATGCTGTGCTTGATGAACTGGCTAGAGCTGAATGCCCTGATATTTGCAAGATTTGATTCAACTTTGTATGCATGTAGTTGTATATTTGGAAGCACGTAAGGCCCAAAAGGAGTGTTCAAGTATGAGCAAGAGGACTAATTCGCCCCTGCCATCCAACACCGGCTCCTTTGTCAGTGAGCTTCCGGTGGCCAATGCAGAGAAACTCAGGCAGCTGGGCAGCAGTCGAGGTTGATTAACAGATATGGAAAAAATCCATCAGTGCCTACAAAATCTCTGCCTGTACTGTGGCCATCCAAATCACTATGCCCAGCAGTGCCCACAGAAGCAAGGCAAGGGACAGCAGCCAGGAAACACAACAACCCCAGTCAGCTCCAGGCACTGAATCTGGGGGTAAAGAGCAAGAATCCGCAACATTCAGCTACATACCCACCCCATTTCCAAATTCCTATAGAGCTGCTGGTTCTAAGTCACAATCCTGCTCATGCCCTTGCCACCATTGATTCTGGGGCTTCTTGCAATTTTATAAATGCTGCTTTTGTGGAACAGGTGGGCATCCCACTGGGCCCACTCGAAGTGATGGTGGTAGTGGAAACGATTGAGGGACACCCCCTGGAGTCAGGCCCCATTACTATGATCACTGCACCAGTGACTCTGTGTATGGAACAGTTTGTTATTGTTTACCTTCTTGTCCCCTCAGGAACATACAGCCCATGTTAGGACTGTTCTGCAACAACTTCAGGAACACCATTTATATGCAAAATTGGAAAAATGTGCCTTTGACCTCTCAGAGGTTGAATTTCTGGGATACCACATCTCTGCTCAAGGTCTAGCCATGGACCAGTGAAAGCTCAAGCATTGCAGGACTGGCAGCCCCCTCAGAACAAGAAAGATGTGCAGTGATTCCTGGGATTTGTGAACTTTTACCATAAGTTCATCCCAGCTTTTTCACAGATCACTGCACCCATTTTAGGACTGCTTCGGAACAAGGTTCTCTTTAAAAAGAGAACAGTCTTCAGCTGAGCACTGGCAAGGCCAAGTGGCTGTGGGTTTTAAGTCCTGCCCACCCAGTTCCAGAGATTTTCCATTTCTAACTCTGCCTGGGGTGCACTTCCCCAGACGGAATCAGTACACAACTTGGGGGTCCTCCTAGACTCATGGCTCCTGCTTGAAGAGCAGGTTACAGCTGTGGTTAGGGGCGCCTTTGTAGGTTCAGCTTGTGCCCCAATTGCACCTTGCTCATGGTGACTCACGCCTTAGTCATCTCCCGTTTGGATTATTTTAATGCGCTGTACATGGGGTTGCACTTGAAGAGCATTCGGAAGCTGCAGCTGTCCAAAATGCAGTGGTGCAGGCAATTTTTGGCAACTCACGCTGCACCCATGTAACACTGCTGCTCTGTGAAGTTTGCAAGACTGCCTTTCTCTCATTGTTTCTGCTCAACCCCCCAGTTTTAGCAGAGAGGGCATGCTCCATGTCCCCTCTATTAAACAATATCCAGTGGAACAGCATCCCTCCCAGAGATCTGGATGGCCCCAACCAAATTGGACTTTCCCCAAGGCATTTGGGCCAGGAGATTAGACTAGCCCTGTTGTTGATGTGCTTTTAATGATTGGAAGGTATCATTTACCCAGGGTGTCACAATTTATTGTTTTAATTGTTGGATTTTAAACAATGTACACTGCCCAGAGTCACTGTTGTGGGAAGGGCGGCCATACATACTGTACATACCAAATCCACTATCTTTTGCCAGAGGCTGATGTGTTCACTTAGCCATTATAGATTGTAGATCAAGATCTACATCTTAGGGACTTCTGTGAATCCAACCTGTGGCAACTTTCATCCTGAAGCCCTTTAACACACCTGAAAATTTTGCTTTTCCATTTAATTATAACTTTAGTGGGAATGTAATTAAAACAGTAGCTCTACTTAACATGTTATATATTTATTTTATCTGACATATTAATAAATCACTGCACTGTCCCTCAGATGCTTGAGGTGATATACAAAATGAAAGAGAACAACAAATCCAGACTAAAACAAATACATTGTAAAAATAAAATGAAAATGACAAAGCAATGTTTAGAACAAAGACACATCAACCAAACACTATAATCTTTATTGCCCATTTAAAGCACAAAAACTGGGAGTTATTCCCTTTGGAAAGAATTACACAGAAAGGGTGCTTATATCACTAGCAACTCCTGACTATGTGCAAAATCACACCACTGAAAATCAGTGATTTGTCTGTCAGTTTCGGTTATGAGGCCTCTTGGGTTGCAGAAATGTTGCTCAGTGGTGAATACAGGCCATAGATTTCTAACCTGGTTTATGTTCAAGTAAGCCCCATAGATTTACTAACTTCAGAGTTAATTAGTAGATTTTTCTTGGTTGATTCTGTCTTTATGGTTCCCCACAAAGACATTACTGAAAGGGGGTATCTGTATCATGACAAGCAAACATTTTCTGATGTTGAGGTCTATTTTAGTTACTGATTTCCTTTCATTTTTCATATCTTTATCATACATGATATTGTGAACACTGAAAGGAAAAACTAAAGAAAAGAATAATCAAATGTTCTCTTCAAAGAAAACAGTTATGATGAATGAATGAATGTGTAACAAAATGGCCCAGTTTATTACCCACCCACTGCAAATCTGTTACCTTTCTGCTAATCTCTGTATCTGGGTGATTTGGGGGCCAGGATATTTCAACTTGAGAACCCCTCAAAAGGAGTCACTAGAGGGGCTATCAGGGTGCAAGCTAGGAGGCAATGAAGAACTGTAGAAGCCTCAGTGCTGTTTATACCTTCAATCCAAAGCAGCGTTTCTCAACCTTAGCAACGTTAAGATATGTGGACTTCAACTCCCAGAATTCCCCAGCCAGCCATGCTGAGTGGGGAATTCTGGGAGCTGAAGTCTACATATCTTAATGTTGCTAAAGTTGAGAAACACTGATTTAAAGAAATGATGAATTTAGTTTTTGAGCTGATCTAAATATGTTCCTCTCCAACTACACATAATGGAAGGGAAGTTGCTTTTTGAAAAAGTCTATAGCTTCTAGAGTTTATGGTCTTGTCAGAATGCTCTGATCAAGCAATAGGATTATTTTGTTAGGTTTTTTTTAATCAATATTGCTACTAAAAGGTTGGACAGAAAAGAGTAAGAGGGTACAAGGAGGAAGCTACTAATGAAAGAGCCAGTAGCTCTGGAATGTCTCAATAGTACTATGCTACTACAATAGAAAAACATAATTGCATCTCATTTTAAAAAATGGCTTATGAGTGTCACACAAAGGCCAGAATGCACTCTGTGGCTATGTAGAAGTATTCTAGGTTGTCTTTTTTGCTAACTACTCACTATTTAATTAACGTCTGTCATGAATCTCCTTAATAATTCATTCTCTAAACTTAAACCCACTTTCAGTTCATCTTCTTGATCCATTTAGCAGATCTTTTCTGTATTTTCTCTATTCCATCTTACCGAAAGGAGAGAAGTGCAGCTTTATGTAATACCATCATCATATCTTGGACATCTGCACCTACTGCATTTTGAGCCCTAACAGTTTTCTGGGTCAAAGTGAGCACAGTAAGTGAAACTTGTAACTGAAAGGAGGGCAGTGAGGACAGATGCCATTTCATCTTCAACTAGGCCAGATTACTTACAAAAGGAAGTCCAAATTTCGGATACTCAGAGCTTGCCCAAAGAGGCAATCTTAATAAGGAGGAAGACAAGGAACATTATCCTAACACATTGCCTACATGGAAACACACAGCTTTACAGGGCATTACATATCTGGCATATGTAAGCATTGCATGAGAGTTTGGGTGAAAAGACAAAGATACCAAGCTGCAAAAAGAATGCCTCATATGCACTTACCATTTTGTTGCTAACAGAAAAAGCATTCATGTACAGTACGTTTGGCCTATTCATACCCACCCCATAATCTTTCACTGTCTTGGTTTCTCCATACAGAACCGTGAAAAGCAATTCTGCAAAGAATCTAGGGAGTTCTCACTAAGAATTCTCTGCAGCACAACTGTGTGTATAGTTCCCATAATTCATTCAGAATGAGATAGGCAGTAATGTCAACGTAGGTTACAACTGTGGCAGACATACATCAGCACTTGCCTTGGTGATGGAGGTTTGGTTTTGTTCTTTCTATACAACATCTTTTAGTACAAAGTGCCCTCAAACTTCAATCAATAGTCTCCAGTGCAATGGCTCATGCCAGATAGTGTTCTTAGACTGGGCAGGGTGAATTTCATGATACCCAAGAGTTGAGTGCTGCAATTATACTGTTAGGCCATGGAGGCCCTATCATATCATCTCATAAAGATCAGGACTCATGACTGCATCTCACCATCTTTGCTCTTCAGCACAACAAGAGCAACCAAGAAAGGAATAAGGCAGATGGGGGTTATGATGAGAGGCAGCAAAACATTTTCAGGAGGGTCCAAGAGAGGTCGATGCTGCAGGGTGCAGTTGAGGAAGTAGTTGCGGTGGCTGAAGATGATGTACTCCTCAGCCTTAGCATTGGGGTAGCCAAGCCTCAGGTTATCAGCTCCATCTTCCAGGCATTTTCTCAGGTGACTGTATGGGCTATGAAGATGACCAAAAGTCAGCGAAACAGAGGAAGAAGGTAGGTGCAGAATTATTACTGTAAGCAAGATACCCAGAAAAAGTTGGTCCATTTGTTCTTACTTTCCAAAGTTAGAGAATGAAAAAGAAATAGTTGCATGTATGTGAGTGAACATGTACAGACATTGCACCTCCATGCCTGTACATGTTCACCCACCTAATATAACAAACAAGAAAACACATCAACTAAATAAGTGGAAAATAAGGGAGGAATGGTATGAGAAGGAATGTATTTCCTCAACATGCATTGGGATGTTTGATATTATTATACCTTCTTTCTCATATTTTTCCCACCTAATGTGGTCAAAATATCTCATGATCAAAAAGGGTCTGGATCCCTGGTATACAGTATTTTGGGTGTGTTTTAAATTTATGTATTTATTTATTTAAACAATTTATATAGTCTCCCATCTCACAGAAGTGACTCTGGGAGACATACCAAGGTTAAAAACAACAATAATTTAACAATCATGATGCCCGAGGCCACAAATACAACACAACCCATTAAAAAACCCAACATCTGTAACAGCTGTAGTAACAGAACCTTGCAAGTCTGAATATGCTTCCCTATCCCTCCCTTTATCTATGTGTGAACTAGAGAGAGGCTTGTCTGAGACAATTTCTCAAGTTGCTTTCTTGGCCTAGGCTCAGGGCCCTTTCATCTGACCATTGCCTTGGTAGCAGCTTTTCCTCTTGTCGTTCAAAACTATTCCCTCTGCCCTCTACTGTATATCAACCAGCATTATCCAGTAGAGCTCACCTAATCATCCAGCCCAAATGCTTGGGGGAACAGCCAGGTCTTCAATGTCTTACAAAAGGCTAATAGGGTTGGGGCCATCCAGATCTCCAGAGGGGTGCTATTCCATAGGGCAGCTGCTGCCACAGAGAATGCATGATTCTAGGCTTCAACAAGATGACATTGTTTAATGGAAGGGACCTTGATCATGTTTCTAACGTGAGTCAGAACATTTTTTGTGAGTTTTTAAAAAAGATTCCTAAAATATTAAGGTTTAGATATCAAAATTCAGAATTTCAGTTTCCAATTTCCTTTTTTTGTCCCTCAAATTATGTCCACTTTTCTACTTTAAAAAAAAAAGGTTATTATTTTGTTTAACATGATGTCACTTGACCTACAGTTGCTACTTGCTCCATATCATAAAGCCCTGTTCCTTCTTAGGATTACAGTTTTCAAAATAATGAAGAACATGGGTTGATTCTTTTTGCCTTGAGGAATGAATCAGGAAGACCCTTGACTGCAATGGACAGCACAACCAAGGAAGAAAGTAGTTTTATATTGCAGCAAACTTCAGCCCCATAAGCCAGATAGTAGACTGCTCTATGGTAGGTACTACAACTTCCATTAAGTTTATTTTAGAAGCCAACATTTCATCTTTTCTCCAGCAAAAGATGAGAAGAACACTGAGCTTGTACTAAAAAAAAGCAGCCGGACTTGTATAGGCATGGCTTATTCTCAGAAAGATTCCTTCTTACCACTCATTCTAAGTGGCATGTAGAGGGCCACAGAACATCTGTGAGGTCAGGACAAAAAAGTGGGCAGGGCAGGACAAAATCTAAATGTAATTTGCATTAAACTGCACAGCTATCTCACTACCTAAATCTCACTAATTTCAGTTAGACTTAATTGTGATTAATTTAGTCTGAATGCCAATGAATTCTAGAAACAACTTGCTTACAAAATCAGTGTATAAACATATGAAATAAGTAAACGTAATACATTACAGGTAGTCCTCATTTGGTGGCCATAATTGGGACTGGCAACTTGGTCATTAAGCAAAGCAGTTGCCAAGTGAAACCACAACTCTGATTATGATCTTACTTCAACTTTCCTTTATTTTACAGACTGGTGGAGGTCATAAATGCGAGGATTGGTCATAAAGTTACTTTTTCATCACTGGCGTAACTACAAATGGCCACTAAACTAGGCAGTCACTAAACAAGGACTACCTGTACAGGATCATCTAAGAAAGTATGTTCATGTTCTTCTGATACAGATAATATGATACTTTATTACAGTCATGTCATATTACATGCTCCTTCTTTTAGATCTCCTCAGGTGGCAAGCCTACCCGTCCCCATGGTCAGTAAAGGGTGAAACTCTGCAATACCTGCGAATACTCTTCCACTCACACCAATGTATTTTGCTGATATTGGCCATCTGCTCAACAAACTCATTCCAGCAACATCTGGTATGGGAATGGTACTTATTATCTAGAATGGAAAAGAAATAAAACATACAGAGAAATTACCCTCAGATGTGCATGGCCCAGTACCAGAAAAAGACAAAAAAATCTACCTGGGTCATCTGATGCTGGAAGCCTCTGAGGAAAGGAGAAAGGTGTACAGTAGAAGTAGAAGTTCAGATCTATTCCCCATCAAGCCTAATAAACAATTACCAGCTTTCTCTTCTGGTTTGACACAGGCAGGAAGGATTATCTACCCCATCTCAGACTTCTCTTTATAAGCACTGATAGCCATTTATTATTTTATTTCATCAGACAGCACAACATTTCTACAAAATAGTTGCAAGCAAAATAACTGTGCGGTTTTTCTTTTTTGTTTTTTTACTTTTCAATATATAGTATCTTTTCATTTTTTACTCAAGCCTCCAAAGTGATCTTAGGCAATAAATATGTAAAAAAGTTCAGAATTTCCCCAAATCGCCACAATATGTTAGCAACCCTGCAAGGAGAGGAATGGAGTTGCAACTGGACTACAGCAAGGACAATTATTTCAGACTGAATATGGCCAGGTGAATGTAACAACTGTGGTTGGGAAGGAAAAGAAGGATGATAGAATCCCCCTGATACATTTTTAAAGAACTCTTGAGGAAATACTTCTATAGTTTGGGGGCTGGCATTCAAAGGATCATAGGAACAATATGTTGGGGGAAAACTGTGACATTGGGAGAAACCTAGTGTCAGATTTCCCACTCTATTTCCTTGCCAGTCTCCAAGTAATCTCTTCCAAGAACAGCACCCCTACCCTCAGCATTGCGCTGTTGTGACACAAGCTCTGTCTCCTTTGTACATGTGTGTTTGACATCAAGACCCATGTACACAAGGGTTGGGGCTGGCATTACCTCAGCATGATTCTGCTTTTGTCAACTGCCCCTCCTGCAGATGCCTCTGGGAATGGCCAAATTCAATATTTTCTCATTCCTTCACATTTTGAGAGTATCTGTTTATCTCATATTATAATAATGCCAAATATTTCAAGCATAAAATTATAACCTCAAAATTCAAAAGTATACTGGTCCATATCTTACGGAAGCACTATCAGCTTCAAGTTCTTGTGGATTCTTAGAAAGAAATTCACATGTTCAATGCTGAGAGGCAAATTGTCTCAAATAATTAAAACTACTTACAAAAAGAAACAATGATAGGTGAAGACATTTGCAAATGTTATAGTTCCCAGTATATTATGGAAATACTGCCTTACCATTAGGCAGAATGTGATGACTATCATAGGTGGTAGATGTTGAGGAGCATCTCTGGCAGGGCCAGAGCATCCCTCTGGAGCCATACTGCTCATTACCTCTCTTAGGGGCTAGAACTGCATAGGCCATACAGTCTGTCATAGGCCTTCTAAATGGATGTGCTTCCCTTCAGGTACGGTAGAAGATATTCCCAGCACTGAAGTAAGCTCCAATGCACTGTCCTATTAACTTCTGGACATGAAAGAAGGAGGAAGCAAATCTACACAACCTTCATGGTTAAACCATATTTGGGAACAGGGTTTCACTGAAAATTATCATTTCTGTTTCATCCTAAGGATGCCAAGATATGAGCAGAATTCCCATCACAGTAAGTGCCAGGTTCTCAGAAGGAGCCCTCATGAATTAAAGCCCTATCTAGTCCACCATCCTGTTTTTCAAAGTAGCTGTCAAGAACACATAGAAAGCCCCCAAGCAGGACATGACAGCCCCCTCTGATAGTCATTGGCAGGCTGCTTCTGATCTTGGAGGAAGTCGACAGCCTACCATGATAAACAACCTGTCATCATTAACAGCCATTTATAGCCTCATCCTTTTGAATCTTTCTGAAAGTTTCCTGGATTGGTGGCCATTACCACATTTTATAGTTGCAGATTTCTTAGTTTAGCCCTGGGCTATCTAGAATAATCCTTCAATTTGTCCTGAATCCTCCTCCATACTCTGTCATAGGATAAGCCTGAATTCTAGCACTATAAGAAAACCTCTACCCACATTCTCAGTATCAACTTAACACACTTCATCTGTTGCTTACCTTTATATTCCTGATGTGTACTGTTTCGACTTTCCAAAAAGTGGCCAGCGCTTTGAGGAGATACTGTTGTCCCAGAATAAGCATGAAGTGAAATAGCCACTACAGTTGAGAGAAAATGGAGAGAATGTAAAAATAACCTCAGGAAATACAG